CACCCCCTTGTCTGAAATTTCTCTTCTGCGCGTTCAAGGTTACTCTTGGCATTGTTCGAAGTTACGTAACACTTGCTTTAACAGTTTTGGCGAATTGAAGTCCCTGATGATGGCCGGTTGGGGCCGAAACATGTTTTAAAAAGTTAAAATTCTAAGGAATAAAGTGGTCGCATTGTTCTTGGAACTGTAATATAAATATTCTAAGTGAAGTTTTAATATTTTTATAATTGTATACTTCGTTATCATGTAAGGAATGCCATCCTGTAGGATTTGGGGTTCNTGAAGGTACATTACAGTAAATAATGTAAAATTTGTACACAGTCCGTCTTTCTGATCTGAAGTGATGATGTATAGTGTAACGAAGAATATTAAAATTATTACGTCAGGGAGGAAATGTTATAAATGAGGACACGTGAGATAAAACCACGGAAGCGGTCTTGGTAAAGACTTAGGTTTAGACAAGAGACATGCTGTAACACTTACTTACTTGGGCCGCGCCATAGCTCAAGCGGTTAGTCGCTGGTTTCCCACCGAGGGGTCTCCGGTTCGATCCCGGGTCTGGTCAAGTGGGATTTGTGGTGGACAAAGGGGCGCTGGAGCAGGTTTTCTCCGAGTACTTCGGTTTCCCCTGCCAATCTTCATTCCACCAATTGCTCCACAATCACCCCCCACCTATCATCTGAGGCTGGTACAATAGGCCAGAAGTGGCCTCAGTACAAGAGACTTAGTCCCACCCCACTAGCAATAAAAAAAAATAACTATTATTGATATTTTTGTAAGTTGTTTGACGACGCTTTCAATATCATTATTATTACTGTTATTATGCTTTTATGATTACAAAGGCCTATAGGAGGCGAATAAGTTAGTGTTTTGTTGTTTAATTTTACTGTATTATAAATGCAAAAGCGATGATATCGTCATTTCAGGTTTATAAATTTCCCCTACATTAGTGTCACGGTTCATTTCTAGTCAAACTGAAAGTCTCAGCATTCTCTTGACACAACAAAATTCAAATTGACCCTCTGCTCTGTACCGATATGGAATACGTCTAATTGAACTAATAAAATTTGCTTACCTCGACACGGTAAGGTATATGAAAGGTTAAGGAAGAAAGAAATGATCTAAAAGGCACTGGAATCCATCTCTATCTTGTTTCAGATGCTATTAGGCAGCGAATCGGTCACTGATCATGTTTCTTAATGTCTGTTATTTTGATGGAAGAACGTAAATGTCACGTTTTAAGTCAAGGATGTGTTTAAGCAAATTATGGGCCTAAGGAGGATGAAATCATGTAATATTTTAGGTATATTTCATAGCGACGAATATAATAGTCTATAGAGATCATCCAGTGCTAGTCTAGGGAAATCTAGGTAGATTGGATAAGAGAGACAAAACATGTATACAGAATATTTGATAGGAAATCTACTGGAAAGCGACCATCTATAAGAAGAGGAAAATTTCAAAGATAATATTGAAATGCAGATCAGGTTGTAAAGGTGGGAGGTGGATGCAACTATCCTGGATTAAAGATCTGGTTTCAACACTGTTAAACCTACAGCTTATTTTTTCAACCTTATGTTGAAATCTGAGAATCCGCTCTGCCCAGGGCATTCGTCGCGTAGTCATTTTATTGAGCAATTTTTATCTTCTCACTTTTGCATAATATTTTAATTACAGGAACGTCTTCCTAATTATGTTCAGGGTCAGTGAATAAGCTGACTTTCCCTCATCCCGGTATCACACCCGAAACGTCCCTGACTGCTTTACGAGTCCACTGTATTTATTTTCACACGTACTTGCATATTGTTTTAATTCCAGGCATTTGCAAGCGGATACGATAGCGTGCTTACCGACATACGCAACCAATGCAACGAGACTTTCCCTATCTCAGACGGTAGGTATACCGGCTTTAACGTTTTGCTTCAATTCATTATTTTCATATTTTTATAAACAAAACTTCAATTTCTCACACCATAGGTCTAGTGGTCAGAGTTCCTGGCTATAGATCCAGAGGACCGGGTTCAATTCCCGGCGCTATAAGACCTTTTCTGAGGAGTAGTGGGTCTGGAACGGGATTCACTCAGCCTCAATGTGATAATTGAGGAGCTGTTTGAAGGAAATAGTGGCTCCGGTCTAAAAAAACGAAATTAACGGTCGTGGGAATTCGTTGCGCTGACCACGCGACACCTTCTACCCGCAAAAGTTGGCACTAACTTCGCCAACAAGCGGCAGTCGCTCGGTCGGTATAGTTCGCTTGCGGACTAAAATCACGGAATTTTTTATAACAAGACAAATTCTGGGTCGAGATGAAGCTCTGGGCTTAAATACCGATCATGTGATAACGTGCTGCCTGCTCTGGTTATCGCACTTCTCAGGGAGCGCTGATAAATGAGTATCAGCAATAGTAAATTGTGATTATCAGAGGGAAACCAACGAAACTCTGAGAAGAATCCACCATCTCACATTAAGTCACATGAGATTGAACCCGAGGCTCCGAGGTGAGAAGCCAGCGTATAATATCCAATTGCTTGTACTATGATATTTAACATATTGTAAGATATTTTTCTTGTTTGGTCTTCTTCCGGGAAATAAGCAATTTGATTTCAGATTGTAAGTTTAAATAATCCCGGAAATTATGCAATTTTCGCCCTCGTTATAAAGTGTTTGAGTCCAATTGCCAGTGCGTCTTCCACTTGATGTTGTTAGACATAGTTTCGCTGACGCAAATTAATTCAGTAGTTATGCCGTGTCATCACTTCAGACCCATTTTGTTTTCACTTTGAATCGTTGGAGTGCCTTCCGTGACTTCAGTGCTTCCCGAGGAAGGAGTCCGTCAACATGACAAGCAATTGAAGTATCAAGTGCATTAGCATTTCCTTAAATTAATTTCAGAATATGTGTCTTTAAGACAAATTACTTCCTATGCGGCATGAAATACTGTAAAGCATTACTTTGTATTATTTTATTGTAATTATGCACAATTCAACATTGAATAAAACACCTTCAGATTAATTTTCAATAAAACCTTAAGTAGCAGAGTTGGGACATTTCAGTCGGTAAAGCGACGGGCTACGAATTGAACAGCGTCCAGACCGGCTCTGGGGCTTATCCAACCTCTTATCCAATGGATACAGGGGATTTTTCCTTGGAGGTAAAGTGGACGGGGCGTGAAGCTGACCACTCGCCTCCATCTACTGCCGAAGTCAAGAATGGTGGAGCTATATCTCCACTCCACCCATAGGTCTTCATGACATAGTAATTAACTAATTAAGCACAGGGACAACTCTTTACTATTCATAACATGATCATTGGTAACTTAATTTTGTTAATAAATTAATTCAATCCACAAGCTGACACATTGATTCCATAATATCTATTTAAATATTGTTCTCAAATCTACGCCTAGGTCTGCCATGTGGTGTATTTCCTTCAGGCTTTCAGACAGAAAATTTGTACATATTTCACGTCCCTCCCATGGATGCTGCAGGCGCCTTCCACCTCATGCTCCGTTGTTAGGTCACCCTAACAATATGATGAAGCTCCTCACTATGTAATTTTCTTTCTTCTTCTCTTGCTTCCTCTATCTTAGCTACATATAACCTTATTCTCCTCAGTACTTTGTTTTCAGACACCCTAAATCTATTTCATTCTCCCAAAGTTGGATATCAAGTTTCGTGCCCGCACAGGTTGGCGTCTCGAGACTCATGTGTCCCAGACGATCTTCTTTGTCCTCTTTATAACCCCTCGGCACGCACCACGCAGAAAACACAGCCTCTCTATTGTTGAGAAGGCGTGTTTACAGCGCCCTAACCTAGAAACAGAAGTTATTCGATTGTTGCTTGCAAAATCGTTGCCGCGGGAATGTGTTTACCGAGCAGTCGCCTAACAATGGACGTCTCCTCTGATTTTACTATTCCAGCTTTCAGGCGTCGTATCACAGTATTCAGTTGGTAATACATCCATCTGAGGATGACAACATTGAACGCCCAGACATGTAATTGAGTATAATTATGGTGTTGTAACAAATGTTTATAAATAATGGTCCCATAATTCTTAAGTCAGAATGCCTAGCGCATTGCCTGAGAAACAGAAGCCAAGCTACATATTTCAGAAACGCAACAGAATATCGCTTCGAACTGCCCGACTAATACAAAATATTTTAACTTCCAATAACAATATTTGTACAAACGGATATTGTAAGCGTAACGAGATACTTGAATCTTTAAATAACGTTTCTCTTATATTAGATTGTAATATTATCTTTTTATTGCTAGTGGGATGGGACAAAGTCCCTTATACTGCGGCCACTTGTGGCCTATTTTACCAGCCCCAGATGATAGGTGAGGGTGATTGTGGAGCAATTGGTGGAATGAAGATTGGCAGGGGAAACCGAAGTACTCGGAGAAACCCTGCCCCAGCGCCACTTTGTCCACCACAAATCCCACTTGACCAGACCCGGGATCTAAACCGAGCCGCCGCGGTGGGAAGACAGCGACTAACTGCTTGTGCTATGGCGCGGCCACTTGATTGTAATAGCTATCTAACCATTTTTATGAAGCAGAGATGTTCTTTGTGAGCTAATATTCGCTCAACTGGTCAGAATATTCCTTCCATTTCATGAAACTCTGAGGCTTACTGCAGTGCACTGTAATAGCGACGTCATAATGAAAGCTGTGTTTACGTTTTGCAGAATATGATGTCCGTTTATTGAATTTCGGGAGTTTCCCGGACGAATCAGACAAAACTCCGATGGTAAGTTCGCTATTTTCACTCTACATCCATAACAACTTCTGGCCATGGTAGAACTTTCACTTTCATGAGTCGTGATATTTATTTACCTACTTTTGGGACGTCAAAGCTACGTAGAGTGAACAGGTGGGTTCAATGGCATTACGAGAAAATTCTTCCTCAGAGGGCGGAAGCGTGGATTTCAACTTCCGCTTAAAAAGAAAAAGGCATATAATCGAGAGTTTTGAATCATTCTCGAGAAACAACTGTTTGCATGTGCGTTTCTCCGTTGTTAACTTGTGATCCGGTTCAAGGAGTCTCGCCGTTTTGTCCGAATAAGATTATTTGTCTGCATATGTCTGTAGCGCCAAGTAAAGAGACTGATCTGCTTCATTTAAACCCCCACTGAACAGTCGTCACAAAGTAAAGGAAAGATGACCGTCTTCTGAGATGTGATGCTATGTCAATCCATCCATTGTTCTACAGCCCTTTGTTAGGCTTTAACCACTTTTCAGTTTTTTTATCTTTTACAGAGTCAGTAGGACTCCTTGGATGGGAGATGAGCCAGTCCCAAGGCCCCTACCTGCACGCAGGACAGCACAAACACGAAATAAACGCACACAGACGTCCATGCCTCAAGTGATATTCGAACTCACGATCCCAGTGTTTGAGCGGGCGAAGACAGTTCATGCCTTAGACAGCACGGCCACTGTGATCAGCTTGTAATGCCATGTAGTCTGGTACAAGCTACCAAAATTTCGGATGATACTGCTGCCTAAATCTTGAGGATATAAAATTGTTCCTCAGAAAAAAATTGTAACATTCTGTCAGACTACACGGCGTCACATCCGCGACGACAGCATATTTATATACTCGAGCATGAGAACTTCAGATCTTCCAAAGTACAGTCATTCAGTAATTTGGTCGATTTATCAATCTGTCTTACCTTCAGAGATATCAGTCATGCGCAGTTTAAGGGGTCAATTACACTGACCTGTATTTAAAACCGGTTTTGCAACCCAAGCATCAGATAAGCAAAAAGCAAGATTTGTTCTTTACATCATCTTCAGTTTCAGGAAGCAAATTACTCTGAATTGTAAAGTCACTCTCTGGCTGTTCTTGTTTTCTCTTCGTACAGGTATAAGGTTTATTTAACGATGTTTATTAACAGAACATAATTTTGTTGCGTCGTTTCTGAATGAAAGATCGCGAGATATGGAGGTGGTCGTGACCTGTTCTGAGAGAATATCTTGGCATTTTGATTAAGGTATGGAGCCAAACCATGTCAGGGTATCCAATTTCCGGACTGAGGATAGAATACTGGACTTCTGAGTGTGAAGTTGTAACTACTTTATAACAATATTCCGGACTGCTTTTTGTTTATAGATAACATTGTTGTTGTCATTATTTTTGTTTCAATAGAGATTCATATGAGGGCACGCGGTAGCATAGTTGGTTGAGGCACTGTATTACAAGCCGGAAGGTCGCGAGTTCGAGTCCCAGTGAGGTGGATTTTTTCAATTGATCTAACCTTTAAGCCGCATTATGGCCCGAGGTTCACTTAGACTGTAACAGAAATGAGTACCAGGAATCTTACTGGGGATTAAGGCCGGCCGTAGCGTAAGGTTGACAACCTTACCGCCATCCGTGAGCTGATTGTCTAGACAAATTGTGGGAGCCTCGATGGGAGCCCTATGGGCTTTCACGGTCTGTTACATGGATACCTTTAGATATTTTTATCTTTATAGAAATTCATATAAATATAACTCGTAAATTCACCATTAATGGTCGAGTTTCAAGTCGAGGTGTAACATTGGTGACGGTGGATCCATAGCAGGACGGTTTGGGAGTAGCCATACGTAAGTGAGGCATTGAAATGTACTGAAATTCTTACTGCATTCCTGACAAGCACGTCATTTCAACCCACAGTTTTATTGCTTCGGAATCCGATGCTATCTGTGTTTAAGCTGATGAGTAAATGAAAGACGAGACAGAGAAATATAGGTCCCTCAGAAATCGCATTTTATTTCTAATGAGCTTTCAGGGCATAAAATTGGTGTATGATAGGTAGTAATGTAAAGATATCCCTTTCACAGACGGTGAAAGCCTACAGGGTTGTGAGACGTCGAGGTTCCCATATTTTCTAGACAATCGGCTCACAGATGGCGGTGAGAGTGTCAGTCTTACGCCCCGGCCGCCCTTTACCCCGAGGCATATTCCTGGTACTCATTTACTCTGTTAGAGGCTAAGTCGACCCCAGGGCCATAGTGCGGCTGGAAGGATTACGTCTGTTGAAAAATTCAGTGACCTCATCGGGAATCGAAACCGTGACATTCCGGCTTGTAGTATAGTGCCTCAACCAACTAAACTACGACGTTCTCCGTAGGATAGGTAGTTCTTCTGTAAATAATATGATTTGTGATTCCCAGACGTAGTTCATTCGGAAGTCTGCTATAAGTAAAAGATAAATATGTTCTCATGTATATATTTTTTTTTTTACAGTGCTTCATTCATTGTTTTATGGACAAAGGAGGAATGGTAAGATTATATATACATATTAAATAATTAACGATTTACACGACACAGAGACTAACTTGAAAAGTTGGTAGTTGTACAGATAATTAAAAGTTCTTGTTTCTTAAATAGGAACCGAAAGTTGATCTCCGAGCTCACGATAGTCACCAATGAGCTCTCTCGTGATGATCATTCAATTCATAACATATAGACCACTTTCAGTGGAACCTAAAAATTCGCCTGCGTGTTCATAGACGCCAGCCATTAAAACCTGCCTTCACTGCGTTTGATCCATTTAGCATGTTCACTCGCTGTTCATCTTGGAAGTACGAGTATGTCAACACTTCTTCCCATCTATCCTCTTGTCTCCCAAGTGGCATCTTCCTTAAGAAAAATGCATATAATGCGTTTCAATTCATATTGCGTGTCAGGTATTTTAATATAGATCAAATGGTGTGAACTTGCTGAAGAACTGGATCATATTCCAGTAAGGAAGAGCTCCTGGAGATTGTACCACGTGACAATGTCCTATGGAACCAAAACACGCAGTGATTTCTAACACATGTTAGTTGCCTCTAAAGTTGTATTCATGGTTATATGAAATAAAATTTAATTTTGCTAATATTGTAAATTTAACTGTTTTATCTCATGTGTAAGCTAAAAATTGAGGCCGCGCCATAGCTCAAGCGGTTAGTCGCTGGCTTCCCATCGCGGCGGGCCGGGTTCTATCCTGGGTCTGATCAAGTTGGATTTGTGGTGGACAAAGTGGCGCTGGGACAGGTTTTCTCCGAGTACTTCGGTTTCCCCTGCCAATCTTCATTCCACCAATTGCTCCACAATCACCCTCACCTATCATCTGGGGATGGTACAATAGGCCAGAAGTGGCCGCAGTACAAGGGACTTAGTCCCACACCACTAGCAATAAAAGAAAAGAAAGCTAAAAATTAGAATATAGAAAACAATGACTTTGCTTATGGTTCACTAATTCCGTTAGATAATTAGTGGCGCCAGACGTTACTGTGGCAGGAAATTCAGTCATATTATCGTAAAATCTTATCTCAAAGTTATGAATGTAAGTTTGTTGGTTTTATCGTTTGAACTTCAATATAACCCGTATTTCAGATTGATACCGACGGCACATTTCAACAAAAAATATTGGTTGAGAAACTTCAAGGATTCCCGAACGATACTATAATCCCAGACCTGGGGGAAATTATGGATCATTGCGTCACAAGAAATGGAGGTAGATATAAATAACAGAGATTCAATTAACGTTTTGAAAAGTATTTCTCCTTTAGCATGTTATGTATTTTTAAAGAATTTTACATTTCTATAGACTATTTCATTACTTAATTAATTTTTAAAACACATTTTGACGTATTAAGTTACATGTCAGATTCTTGCATCATACATCTGCATTTTATTCTATATTGGAATTGAAAAAGGACATAGGCTACTTCAAGAGCTCGCCCTATTTTTTTTTGTTACTACTAAACAAGAAGTTCTGGGAAGATCTAATCATCTACTTTCCTTTCATACAACATGAACCGCATAGAAACGACGCTTCCAACAATTGTTCTATTAAGAAAGCAGTCTCCTGGGATGTGGCACCGTGTAGATGTCGTGTTAACCGACGTTTCGGAGGAACGTATCGCCTGCATCTTCAGGGTAGAAGGAAAAATAAGAAAATCCGCAAGCGAAGAGACAGTGAGAACAGGTCTGCTTGCACCTTGCGATACCTTCCTCCGAAACGTCGGTTAACACCACATCTACACGGTGCCACATCCCAGAAGACTGCTTTCTTCATAGTCACCGCCGTGAAAACCTCAAATCTTACAGTTGTTGTATTGTTGCGTATATTCGTTGCCCCGGAGACATATTTACCGAACCGTTGCTTAGCAACAGTAGACCGATTCACATATAGAGACACAGAATAGAAGGAGGGATTTATGAAGTACGCCGTTGAGATAGGCTCAGGTGCCATGGTATGCATACGAAGTTAGAAAAAAATTGGCTCAGGAATTCAAAATTCGGTAGGAGGGATACAAAGACGGGAAGAAAACAAGAGGCGCCCCTAAGCCTATTTTTATTTTTCAAAATAAAGGAAGTAGGCTGAAAAAGAACAATATGAATGCTTACATTTATAAACCCAATGTAAAGTCTAGCTAAGGTTTCTCTCATTAACAAATTCACTGTGTCACCTTGTTGTAAGAGAGAATTGAAAAACATAATCTACACTTCATAAAGAGGGTAATTAATGTCGAAATACAAATTGAAAAATTATTATGGAGGAATTATGAGGTCACAGTCCTTCCTTCTGTTGCACAATAAGGAAATCGCGTTAAGAGAAGTGTCCCAGTAGTGATAAATTCAATAAATTGTTGCACCGGAAATCTTTGTTAAGAAATGTTTACCTGGTATCACCAATTATGTCTTTTACCCTACAGGATGTGACGTGATGTGAAGCGTGATTCATTTGTCTCTCATTTTATTACTGTAGCATGGAGAATTATTGCCCTAACATTATGTATAGTAGGATTATATATTTCAAGCTTTCGACTACTTCCCAATCCAGATCTGTCAAAACAGCATTTCGGTGGCTTGCTTCCCAGTGGGAGTAGAAAGTCAAGCTATTAGCACCTGACTTACCGGAAGCACATTTTAGACGGTGTTCTTGTTATTTGTGATGTTTTGTTGGTTTCTTTAACTTAAGCAAGGAAGCTGTACCTGAAGTATTTTGCAGCTGTCTGTAAAAGTGAAGTAGAAGCCATACCAAAACAGAAAAGTGCAGCATAAGCCTGCAGACCAAGTTCGGATCCTAACTATAAAATAAGATGCTATTTAATATGAATAGATTTTCCATACAGTTGTATCTCTGAAATTTGCTACCTACATATATAGTAAAGCGCCGGTCACGGTAGCCGAGCGGTCTAAGGCATGCACTATCTTCGCTCGCTCGGAAGCCGGGTTCGTGGATTCGAATCCCACTCAGGGCATGGATGTTTGTGTGCATTTTTCTGTGTTTGTGTACAGGTAGAGGCCTTGCGACGAGCTGATCACCCGCCCAAGGAGTCCTACCGAATGTGTAAGAGCTAGAAAAACCGAAGTGAACGGAGAAGTTCATGGAGGTAGGCCTAGGCCCACTGGGGCTGTAGTGCCAAGGAAAAAAATACATAGTAAAGCATAATTTTATGTTACTTTTTAAACCATTTAAACCATCACCTTTTCGCCTGATTGTTTACAAATCTTTGCACTTAACATTTTTTTCCCCCTTGGCACTACAGCCCCAGTGGGCCTAGGCCTACCTCCATGAAATTCTCCGTTCACTTCGGTTCTTCTTGATCTTACACATTCGGTAGGACTCCTTGGGCGGGTGATCAGCTCGTCGCAAGGCCTCTACCTGTACACAAACACAGAAAAATGCACACACACAAACTAAACATCCAAGCCCTGAGTGGGATTCGAACCCACGATCCCGGTTTCCAAGCGAGCGAAAACAGTACATGCCTTAGACCGCTCTGTTACCGTGACCGGCGCACTTAACATTATAATGTTTAATAACCAGTGGTTGTTAATTGTTTAATGAGTCTTACGAATGAGTTTCAATCCATTGCTCTGCATGCTTAATGCGGTTTAAATTATTGTTACAACATCTCGATATTATTAAAACGGACCAAATGTTAGCAGTCTGTTTTAAAATGTTTATACATCTTTCTTCTGTCCTTCTGGCGCCATGGGGGAAGTTGACCGAAGCTTTGGGAGAAGGCACTTCCTCCATCTTTAGACCTGAAGAAGGAGGCAGTATATTTCTTTGGAAAGCCGGTAAACCTCTGTCGGACTACACGGCGTCATATACTAGAAAACGGTACCCTTCATAGTCATTACTTCTGAGAACCTCTAATCTAACAACTTGACGCCATTTCCTTGTTTGTTTCTGTACGAAAACAGAGAAAATGAAGATCTGCAACAACATGCAAACACACAGCGAAGTACTGAACACAGATGACATATGGCGCTGCGCCCTTCTTGAGAAGCCGCCAATTGTGCAACTACTCAAGAAGTTCCCAGCATTTTATGGAACCAGAAGATTCGTTACCGTGTTCACAAGAGCCTTCAACTAGTCCCTATCCTGAGCCAGATCAGTCCATTTCATACCATACCATCCTATCTCTCTCAGATCCATTTTAATACTGTCCACCCACCAATGTCTTGGTGGTCTCTTTCCTTCTGGCTATCCCACCAATATACTATATGCATTCCTCTTATCCCCATTCGTGCTACATGCCCTACCAATCTAATCTTCCTTGACTTCGTCATTATAATTATATTTGGAGAAGAGTACAAGTTATGAAGCTCTTCATTGTGCAGTTTTCTCCAACCTCCCGTAACTTCATAACTCTTCGGTACAAATAAACTCTTGAACACCCTGTTCTCCGCGGTAGCGTAGTTGGTTGAGGCAAGGAAGGTCGCGGGTTCAAGCCCCGATTAGGTCATTGGATTTTTTCAATTGACCTAACCCTTCCAGCCACACTATGGCCCTGGGGTTGGCTCAGCTTCTAACAGAAATGAGTACTAGGAATTAATTAAATAATTTTCCTGGGGAGTAAAGCGCGGCCGGCGCGTAAGACTGACAGTCTTACTTCCATCTTTGAGCCGATTGTCTAGATAATGTGGGAACCTCAACATCTCACAATCCCATGGGCCTCCACGGCCTGTTACAGGGATACCTTTACTTACTTACACCCCATTCTCAAACATCCTCAATCTATGCTCTTCGCTGAACATAAATATAATTTCTTATATAAAATTCAATGAAATAATTGAGAAGTAATGAAGAATCTTGTTCAGATAATTAAATTCTCTATGCACTATAATTAATAGATTGTTTTCTTTTTCTGACTTACAGAACAGGCCGATTTGTGCGAGAGAGCATATAATTTCGCAAAATGCCTTATAATTGAGGTGAGCATGTCATTTTCATTCTTGTTCTGTTGATATTGGCCTCCACGGCCTGGTACAGGTATACCTTTACCTAATTTACATTATGCATAAAATATACAGAGAACACAACAATATGAATATTTTATTACATCAGTTATTTAAACACTTGAAATCCACTAGCCTGATATCTTTCATCGTGATTTACGTGTAACAAATACATAAATTTAAAATATAAAACAAACGAAATAGTACGCAAAATATTTGGATCTGAGAATGTTGAAACAAGCGAAGAATTAAGGTATTACTTGAAGAGAAGCTTTGTGATATTTAAGTTTATTTTCTAAGTTGATTATTTGACAATACTGTCAGTAGGTCACAGGTCACGTGCAGTACAAAACACCGATCTTGAGAGCTGTGAGGAATTCAGGAAGTCGGAACCATTAAAGGCGCGACAGAAGCATGAATCAGCGACTACTACATGAGTCAAAACATTCAGTGCATACTCTATAGGGGCTGTATAAGCTCCATGTTACTGTCTTCATCGAGGGCAATACTGTTGCACTCGGTGTCAGTTTCGCTGCTGAAATGTTGCTTTGCACTGTCGAGATACAAACGCAGTTGCTGTAGCTCAGTGCAACTGAGTACTATACAATTACACTATTGGCCAGTACATTCTGATGTTATACACAGTAGGTAGGTCTGTTGGCGCCCTTTCTCTCCTTGCCCGTCCCCTCCCCCCTCAACACACAAGGTACAAGTAGTACTGATATTAAAGGGGCCACGTCTGTAGCTAAGATGTGGAAATATGAAGTTCAGACGGAATTGAGTCGTTATTTATATTCCCTACAGTACGGACAATACTTTATGAGATGAGGCACTGACTAATATTATAATTTACCTTACTACATCTCCATTACGAGCCTCATACACAATTTTATATACGCATAAGTATGATTGTTCCAACTTGTCCGTGAGAACGAGCCAAAAAACAATTCACAAACCAACGACTGATACTTTGATGTAAAAACACCAAAAAAATATTATTCTTATTTTATATAATACTTCTATTTTATATAACTTGATTTATTGTACTCTTGACATCAAGTGTTTTTTATATATTTTAATAATATTGTACCCAATTTTGTTGGTGCTGCGGTTCAGTGATGTGTATATGTGTGTAAATCATGTGTTTGCCTGATGATGGCTATCAATAGCCGAAACATGTAGCAGGGCCGAAAATGGTCTGATCTTGACATTAGTTGTGTTGTGACGGATATAATAAACAGGTTGTATATTGTAACACAACAGGATGCATGAAATGAAAATAAAATAAATAAAAAAAAATTTTAAGGAAACCCAATTAGAAAGCGAAATTTGGGGAAATCAATAAAGAGGCTGCAGGACAAAATTNAACGACTGATACGTTGATGTAAAAACACCAAAAAAATATTATTCTTATTTTATATCATACTTCTATTTTATATAACTTGATTTTTGTATTTTTTACGTCAAGTGTTTTNGAGCAACTGCGTTGCTTTTTCCTAAATTTGCGCCGTTCTATTCAGTAACATGTCTTCAACTCAGTCTGATAAAATTTCTCGGAAATTGCAGTTGCGTTGCGGTTGCCAGTTTCCTTGGTGTGTCCTCGCCCTAAGTGTAACCGGTTGTGAAGTGGATAGAACTGATTTGGGATTATCTCGGTTGTTTGCTGCTCATATTACAAGATATTTAGGTGAAGCATCAGGTTGTAAGCGGACAAAGACAGATTAATATCAATTTTTGATGAATATTTATTCATTTTATTCGTTATTGAGTAAAGTTGATATATTTTATCTGCTACTAAATTGAATGTCCATATTCATGTACACAACAAAGTGACCGAGAAAGTTGCATCTCGGTTGGGTAAGTTTCCTTAACATACATTTTGCAACGTTTGTAAGGAACCGGGTCTTGAAAGCGTGACTGCACGCTACACTGCCGAAGGGTAGCGTGTCTTATGGATGGTTACCTTTTGTGCTTTATGCAGGAAATACAACGACATGAGGAAACTGGAAAGGAAGAGTGAAGTGTGGGCCAACAACCTGGTCCACTTTTACCATTGGCATTTGGAAGATAGACACTGTTAAAGCACCAACGGAAACAATCTTGCGTAAAGCGGCTATTTCTAGAAAATTTATTTCTTATTGTTACTTTACATCTGTGTATAGATAATGTTGCATCTGTGTTATGAAAATGTTCAGTACTTTAGACAGAAATGTACGTTTGTAGTAAATGTGTTACTTTAACTTTTTGTGAATAGAATAAGTGAGGGAAGCCTAATAAAGGACCTTGCCAGCAAAAGAGAAAAATTGTGCTTTAAAGGAAGTGTTTCAAAATATTATTGTACTGAAATCCTTAGTACAACAATTTACAACACTATCCTACACTCTCGTCAGCCAAGCCGTTTTTATTCTTCTATTTAGGGTCATTTTCATTATCGCTCGATTTGTTGATTCCTTAAAATTGAACTATGTTAGAATATGTAACTCGGGAAAAAGAAGCGAATTTTTAGTAATAATAACTTTTGAAATATTTGTAATTGTTAGATACAGATGTTTTATGCTGTAAAATATTACTGAGCCAGATATTGTTTTCGTATCTTGCTATTGAATTAAGATTCACTTATTATTATAATTTTACTACATATTTTAATCGCCTTTATGTACTTTTGAGGTTTTGCATGTTTTGTTTCTTTCAAAAGCTTTAAGCAATTATGAGATATATCGGTTCTAGGTGTTTATAACTAATACCAGTTGTGGCCACACCTCTGTAAGCGCATAGACTTACATTTTTGGGGGAAAAAAGGGCTTGGATTTCATAACAACACAACTCAGTAGTCTATTAATTGTTTCGCCAGAATACTGCAGATTTTTATTGTCTTCTTTTTACACATATACACGCATACAAATAACAGTGGGCAATGTTTAACACAGATACACACAGAAACAAATGTCTTCTTCAGCACGTTCACAGTAAGTTACTCCAGTGGTTGCTTTAGTGGTGCAGTCCAAACCCTTCGCTGCCCTCGTGATGGCTCACATGCACTGGTACAGGGACCTTCACAGGATAGGGTACGGGCTTCTCAACAGGATATGGGACAGGCTTCTCAACAGGGACCTTCACTGGGTATGGGACCGGTTTCTCAACCGGATATGGTACGTGCTTCTCAACCGTCACCGGGTAGGGTTTGGGCACTGGGACAGGATATGGACGGTCAACAGGGACCTTCACAGGGACAGGTACTTTCTTCTCAACTGGGTATGGAACAGGCTTCTCAACCGGATATGGGACATGCTTCTCAACAGTCACTGGGTAAGGTTTGGGTACTGGAACAGGGTATGGTCGATCAACAGGGACCTTCACAGGGTAAGGGACTTTCTTTTCGACGGGGTATGGGATATGCTTCTCTACGGTGACTGGGTAGGGTTTGGGAACTGGCACTGGGTAAGGTCGGTCGACAGGCACCTTAATTTCAACAGGGTAGGGACGGTCAACGGGAACTTCCACTGGGACCTTTATGTGGACGGGATAGGGTTGTGGGACGGGGACCTTTACGTGGACGGGGTAAGGAGCGGGGACTGGCACTTTCTTTTCGACGTAGACAGGGTAAGGTTTATCGACATGCACCGGGTAGGGCTGTGGAACATGCACTTTCACTTCTACTGGATATGGGACTTTCTTTTCAACAGGAACATGTACGGGGACTGGTCGGTCTACAGGGACTTTAACTGGGTAAGGGACTGGTTTCTCGACAGGATACGGCACAGCTTTTTCAACTGTAACAGGGTAGGGACGATCTACTGGAACTTTGACAGGGTAAGGAACGGGCTTTTCCACGGGATATGGGACAGGTTTCTCAACTGGCACTTTTACGGGATATGGTTGAGGTACTGCATATGGGACTTTCTTGGTAATGGTAATGGTTTTAATCTCATGGTGATCTCCTGATGATAGTCCTCCCCCAAAATCATGTTGACCAAAACCACCACCGATTAAAAATCCACCATCGTGGCCTCCAAATCCCCCTTCATGACCACCAAACCCCCCGTATCCAAAACCAATAATTCCCCTCTTCTCCTGATTCTTCTCCTGGTTCTTCTCCTTCTCAACTGCTTCAGATTTCTCTGACGCTGCTGCTTCTTGTGGCTTCCTTTCAACTTTCTGTTGTGATGTTTCGGCCTTGTCTTCAGCTGAACTGAAGATGGCCAACGTCACTAAGACGACTCCAATCTATAGAAAAGAATTAATTTGTAATAGATTTTCATTTATGTTTAAATTCCATTAAAACGTGTCTGAGATTTCTGAAATGTCCAACAGCCGAATAATAAACTTAACAGTTACCATAGTATCTCTGGTGTTATAGCGTAAGGTATATTATGTTTAGATATCTGTAAATATGTTTTCTATGCTCCTTATTGTATTAGCTTATGCCGACCAAGAAACCACAATGCCAATGTTTGTGCTGGTTTTGTTTGTAAGTATATTTTATTCCATTAACTCCATTCTAAACATTTAAACATCACATTTAACGCATATTATGATGCGCGGTTTCATATTTTTACAGTGAATATACTTGATATTAATACACGGATTTATCATGTTCATTGTCCCAATATCGTGGTAGTCAGCCTATATCGTCTACGAAAAATATGGGCAAATATGAATAGAAATATTTGTGTAAAATTTGTGGCTTAATCGTTTGTCTGTTTATATACATGGGCCATTACCAAGATTATTTAAGAATATTAAATTATGTATTAACAGTGGAAGGCAAGGCACTTGTGAACACGGCAATGAACCTTCGGATTCCATAAAATACTGGGAAATTCTTGAGTAGCTGCACAATTGGCGGCTCCTCAAGAAGGGCTCAGCTTCGTGAGTAAGTTTTTTTTAGTGCTAGTGGATGGGACTAAGTTCCTTGTACTGCGACCACTTCTGACCTATTGTACCATCCCCAGATGATAGGCGAGGGTGATTGTGAATGAAGATTGGCAGGGGAAACCGAAGTACTCGGAGAAAACCTGCCCCATCGCCACTTTGTCCACCACAAATCCCACTTGACCAGACCCGGGATCGAACCCGGGCCGCCGCGGTGGAAAGCCAGCGACTAACCGTTTGAACTACAGCGCGGACGAGTAAGTAAGTAGGTAATCTAAAGAATATCCAATGCATATAAGTTGTAATTTAATGAGTATGGGTTAATAAACACAATTTTCTCGGTAATGTTCACAAAAATTGAACAAACTAAAGTAAGACGGATGACTTTAAGCAATTTCTGTAGAATATTAAATAGAATAAACCCCCGTTACAACGGCCTAATAGGGGGAACGCCCGTTATCACTGTTGTCCGCTATAACCGAGTGACTGTGTATTCGCGGAAGTATACCATAGTATACATAGCCAACAGACGCAATAAAAGTAGCAATACAAAATGTAATTAAAAGGTTTTTATTTTTTTATGTTAAATAATATTCTAACAACAAAGAATTTCTTAGTGCAATTTCTCTAAGACGTCACAAGCATACACAGCCAGATTTTGTACATTATATCCGAAATCGATTATATCCAGGGTTCGCTGTATTTAAAAATTATACGATATCTTGAATAAACACACTTTTACATCATGGATAAAAAAGTATTTATTCCTGTAACAGCCCGTGGAGGTCCATAGGGTTATGAGACTTCGAGGCTCCCACATGTTCTAGACAATGGATAATATGCTTTAGTACATTTAAATGTGTTGGAAATGTGTCAGTCTTCTATTAACAACCTTTTGGCTTTGAAATGAAATTCTGTTTTTAAGTAAGCCGATTTAAAATGTATTACATTGAACTCCGCCTGAAGATACCGTCAAATGTAACGAGAACCAAAGCTGCAAAGGACACAGAGACCTTAACTTCGTGAGTAATAGTGAAACCCAGGATTTCAAGGATTCCTCTTTCCTTTATTTCGTTACTAGTCTGCTATTCCTGTTCTGTTTAATCGTTTCAGATTTGCTTTTCATCTTATTTAGGAAACATAATCAGTTATCACAATATCTGCCCCCGTCAGCTTGTTTAATAATACATAAGTAACATTACGTATCACTCATGGCAATACAGTGATCGTCCATCCCAGAATATACACGGTTTCCACATTTTCTTTGCATATTGGCACTCTCAATGCTCCTGTTTCTAGCATATCTCTCAAACTCATTATCAGCATTAATTGTCATATTCGTTTAAGTTTCTGTATGCATGTCTTTAAATAAATATTTCTATTCATAATTCTGCTATTGAATTTGTAGACCAAATGCAGATTTTTAATAATGCTACACTGGATTTGAGATACTCACAGCCGTGACTATGAAGTGTAGCATTGTCTGGAACATAATTCTGTGTAGTCCGGTAGAATTACACGGACGTTTCTTACGAATATTCTGCCTCCATATTCAGGGCTAGACAATGAGGAAAACAAGAAGCCAACAAGAAGCATACAGGAGACAGAATGAGATTCTTCAACCCTGAAGATGGAGGCATTATATTCCTCCCGAAACATCGGCGAACATTCACTGGAGAACACTACGTCACATCCCTGAAGATAGTGTTCTTTTTAATAATCATGTTTATGACACAATATATAGACTGTTACCCTCCTCTATACATTTCACTCGTAAAAACTAACTTCATGGAGCCGAGCCTTTCTTCAAAAGCCACCAATTGTGCAGTTACTCATGAATTTCCCAGAATTTTATGGAACCCGAAGGTTCATTGCTGTGTTCACAAGAGCCCTCCACTAGTTCATATCCTGAGCCAGATCGATCTAATCCATACCACCCCTTCCTATCTCTTTAAGATCCTTTTCATTAAAGCTCGAAAAGTCGTTAATAGTTTTACGTTTATTACTATAGTTGCCACGGTCACTGCCGTTGCAATGGCTACCCCGTTTCTGCAGAAGTGTTGCAGTGTTGCTCCCACAACACGATTTCGTGCGTCCTTCACGCTATACCGCAGCTTGTAGAACATGAGAAAGAAGGAAGATAAGATGGGCTCTTCCACAGTCCACATGCAGATGGTTCGACAGACATGAGGACCCCTATAAGCGTTTTGTTTTTCTTTGATATTATGCAGAGAAAATATAATAAGGACTCTTACAGATGAGAAAGTTAAGTATGCTTGAAAGATAAAATCTTCATTTTGGTTAATTAGGCACTATGTTTTGAAGATGCATTAGCCACAAAGAAAGGGATACGTTGAAGAGGAGATTGTGCGGGCCCTAGGATCGGTCTGAAAGATCTCAATAAGTATGTACGACAGCGGAAATGCACAATTCTTCCTGGCAGCAATTAGTTATTAGTATCTGGTTGTGACGCATCAATGCTTGCTAACTTTCCCTTCTACAAATTGTTACATGAAATGTCAGAGACACAATGTAGGCCTACTGCGGCTCTTAAACAAGCGAGCTTTCAACTCCTGAGGCATAGACTGCAGTATGTGCTTGAATTCGTGTGTATTAAGTCACTAAAACAGGAACTTAAAACATAGCTTGATGACCTGAATAACTTACTAATGCTCTATCAAGCGTATAGCCTATATAGTGTCTCCCTTATAATAAAAGTTAAAGTTTTCCCTGTGCACTAAGCACTACGCCATAAAGGCGTATGGGGGAGCGCATGTATAGATCCATATTTTCTTGACCTCGGCACCAGTTGGAGGTGAATGGTCAACTTCACGTCTCTGCCGCTTTACTCCCGGGGATAAAGCCCCCGGTACCCATTTGATAGAAGGCTGGGTTGGCCCCAGAGCCAGTCTGGACGACGTGGAGAAGAGAAAATTCTTGACCTTACCGGGACTGGAACTCCTACCCCTCTGTCGTCCAGCCCGTAGCCAGTCGCTATACAGACTGAGCTCTCCCGGTACTCGTCTTCCTTATAATAATGTTATTAAATTGTTGGTTGAACGTGAGAGCTCTGATGAAGCCTACTCGAACTCGGTTTTTCTCCTTGACATTCTACAAAACGTATTTTATATAGAACCTGATTTAATATGATGGAACCCCTAGATGACAACAAGCAATACATTTAGTATGGACAGTTCGAAAGAAGTTCATTGATATGCGGCAAGAAATTATCAATACTGAATTTGTCCTGTACTTACTCTCAGACACTGTTATAATGACATCTCGTGTCTTTATTTTCCTCAAGAGAGAGGATTGTTATAGTAATTATTTACTGTTACCCCGAGTTATATTTTTTAATTGTGTACCCGAAGTAACACATTTTATTAACTGTAATTAACGTGTACTCTATCACGTATTAGACGCAGCTAAAGCATTTTAATTTCACTTCAAGAAAAGTATCAAATGACTTAATGACAAACTGATGCTACTTCCAGCCTACTTTTCTTCCTTAAAAATAAGAATATAGGCTTATAAAATCATCATGTTTCCTGTGTTTTCCCCATTTTCAATTGTTGATCCGATTTTGTGGACGTGACAATTCCACCCTGAAGATGTAGACAGAAGGTTCCTACGAAAACTTAATGTGTATCTAAAAAACTGCACATATAATATTCCAATGCTTCTTATAGTCATCGTTGTTAAAACTTCGAAATTTTAATTATTCTTAATTCTTTTCTTTCGGTAATAGCATGACAAATATATGAACTTGTAAGGTGGAAACATCACTAGCACCACTTGATGTAAAGTCGACAAATTTGGTGTAATAATAAATATTT